GGGAGGCTCCGGCCTCAGGGAGGGCGAGCGAGCTGGGCAGGGGCAGGCGCAGCCGGGGACCCCTCCTGCCCCCCTCTGCCCAGTGCCGCCCTCTCCCGGCGCGGGGGGCCTGCGGGAGATCCCAGACGCGACTCTGCTGCCTTCGGGGAAGGGGGGAGGGACCGCAGCCGGGGAGTCGGAGGGAGGCGGCTCCGGAGGCGGGGAAGGGCCAAGAGGCAGCCTCTGCCCGGAGCCCCGGAGGGCGCGCAGCCCGGCCTCTGCTGTGCGGCCCTGAAACTGACTTGGGACTTCTGGCCTCGGGACCGTAAGGGGATGGATGCTTTGTTTTAAGCTTCCAGTGTGGCCATTTGTTACAGCAGCAATAGGAAGCTAATCAGCGGGGGGGGGGCTCCGGGAGGGAACCCCGAGTGCCACCCCTGTCCTGGGAGTTAGACCCCGAAAAGGCCAGGCGGGCCCAGGTGGCCAAAGGAGAGACTGGCTCTGCTCTCCCAAGGGGAGCCTTTCTGGCCTTGGGCGCGGCCCACCCCTTTCTCAGGCCCGGCTGCTTTAAGCAGGTCTCGCCCTGGGGCCTGGCCCGGGCTTCCCGGCTACTGCGGCGTCTGCTTGGGCCTGGATCTCAGGCCTTCCCTGCTCCCTGGCGGCTGAGGCTGGCGCTGCTCAAGCTCCAGTCTCTCCCAATCCCCCTGGCTAAGGGCCAGTGGGTGAGGTGTGCAGATCTGTGGGCGGAGACGCCTGGGTCCCCTTCAGGAGCCTGCCTCCTCTGGCCTCTGACCTCTGACCTCGAAAGGGGAGAAGAGGCCGGAGAGGGAGTTCCTTTGCCCTTCGCCCTCCCAGGAGGCCCAGTGTGGTCCAGGCGAGGAGTGGCTACAGCTGCAGCCTGTGGGTGGACAGGAGCTTGTCAGGCCCCAGATGCAGGCTCAGCCAAGTGGTGGTGCAGGCCTGGAGCCCGCAAGCCGCCTCAACCTGGATCCCTGGCAGCATATCCCCCTCTGCCTCCCCAGCCCTGCCCCTGGTGGTCCAGAGGTCATCATAGAGGGAAGGTGTGGGTGAGGGACAGTGCTCTGAATGGGGTCAGCATGGACACCGCCACCCACCAGGAGGGGCAGGGGAGTGAGCACTGGGCCCACAGGAGGCTGGCAAAGGGGTAGGGCACGACCCCTGGTGATCCTCTTGCCTGGCACAGCCTCAAGCTGGGCATTCCTCTGTCCCGCCCACTGTGCACCCCTCCTGCCCTGGCTGCCGTCTTCTAACACCCACAGGGGTCCTGGTGATTTGGGGATGATAGCACCTCAGCCTCCCCTGCCCCCTCCAGCTCCCCAGCCCTGGCTGGGCCTTTGTTGTGGGACCTGTTGCAAGTGGCTGAATGTATGAGGTGTGACCCCATCAGCGTTTCCACTGGACTGGGCACCCCTCAAAAGCAAGGACATGTGAGGGCTACCACTGGCCTGGGGGTGGACCCGGGATTGGGAGCTAGGAAGGGTTCAGTCAAAGATGGACTCAAGTTCTGTTGGCCTCCATCTCTCACCGGGGACCTCAGGGAGGGCCACCCTTTGCCCTCCCAGATGGCCCAGTGGGCATGGAGCACAGATGGGGTTCAGAGGCAAGTGTTTATTTAGCCTTTGAGGAATGACTCGCTCAGCAGGTGGCCCAGGGAGCGGCCGGTGGGCTGCACTGTGAGACGGTCGCTGGCTGTCTCAGCGGTGTCCGGCCGGTGGGCACAGATGGGTGGCACCTTGGGCAGAGGCAGATATGAGAGCAGTGGGGAAGGAGAAAGACAGGAGGCACGTGAGAGGGACACGGGAGTCACGATGGCGGCAATGCTGGGTAGGGGAGCAGCAGGCCCATGCACCTGGGCTCCCATCAGCCCCTCCCCAGCTGTACTCACCCCACGCTCACTCTTCATCATCGATGCACTTGTCTGTGGGGAAGGCAGTTCGTTACAGTGGGCAGGGGTGCATGTGTGACCCCTGACCATCAGGACCCTTGCCCTGCCCCTGGGCTGCCCCAGGCCCCAGCCTGGCCCAGCAGCAGCAGATCTAGGGGTTCCCATCAGGGATGGGGCAGCAGAGGGGCAGATGATGCGAGGAGGGGATTTGGAGAAAGGCCTGAGAAGAGACCTGGAGGTCACCTGTTCTCTAGGGGAGGCAAATGAAGCCCAGCCACCTGCTGGACACCCAGGTCTCCTGCCTGTTAGTGGACCCAATGAGCCCTGGCAGTCCCTCAGCCTTGCAGAGTCCGGTGGCTCTTTGAGTGGCCTGGCTGCCTGAAGACAGAGGCACCTCCCAACTCAGTGGCGAGCAAGCCCCAGGGGGAGGGGGGAGGTGGCCCAGAACAGCAGGACCTGGGTGGGGTACAGGGGGAGGCATCCGAAAACAAAGGGGCCTGGGAATAAGGGAAGGTGGCCCTGGGCATTGAGACTGAGGAAAAGCCCTGGGGCCCCAGACCCCTGGGGGCCCCGGAGACCCCCAGGCTGGGTCATGGCCTTTCTGAACCCAAAGTGGCTTCCAGGGGGCTCCAGTGAGGAAAGCAGGGGGGCAAGTCTCCCTTCTCCCCCTTGCCCTGGTGGGGCAGCGTCGGGCCTGGGCCATCCCCACGTTTCTGTCCCCCATCCCGACCAGCCATTACCAATGGGGACAGGGAAGAGGGTGTTGTGGTCGGTGAGCCCCAGGGACTTGACGAATTGGATGAAGTCCTTCTTCTGTTGAGCCGGCAGTTCCTTGGTCCTCCCTGTGGCCGAGGCACCGGCGAGTGGCCGGCAGACACCGTAAATATTGTTGAATGGACCAACGAGCCTCAGACGCCTCCCTTGTGGAGGGTCTGCCCAGAGCCCTCTTTCCCTGGCCCTCCAGGGTCTCGGCGCAGAGATGGCACCGGAGGGGGCCTTGGGGGCAGGGTGGGGATGGGCCCCCCTTCCTCCCTCGAATGTGACCAGGAGCTGGGTCCCCCAGGGGTGGGTGAAAACCCACCATAGAGGGTGACCTTGAAGTAATCCTGGTTTTTGAAGGTCTTCTTGAAAAACACCATGGCGAACTGGTTGTAGTTGGTGGCCACCACTCGCACAGTGTAGCTCTGTACTTCAGGGTAGGCTGTGGGGTGGACAGCGAGGGGTCAGCACTGGCTGCTGGGACAGAGCAACTCCTTTCTCCACAGCCCCACTCAGGACAGCATCTGTGTGGAGGCCCAGGGAGGCCTGTTCCCCCTCTGGGAGGACCCTGTGCCTAGGACCCCAACCCCAGGGCCCATGTCACTCAGGACTCACCCTTAATGTTTCCCAGGCTGAACTGGCCAGGCTGGGAAGTTGGGACAAAAGTTCTGACAAAGTAGGAACAGCCCTGGTCCCTGTGGGAACGAGAGAGATGTGTAGGTGAGGGGGGAGACTTACAGGAGCCTCGTCCCCTGGGCTGGACAAGGTGGGGGCCAGGGCTGCCACTGGAGGGGCCAGAATTCTGATGCCCCGGGTCCAGCCCTGCCCAGCCCAGCCCCCACCACAGCAGGTGGCCTTGGTCTTTTCCTCTGAGCCTATCCCTTGCTGTCCCTTCCACAGCTGCCCTCCCTCCAGCACCCACTGTCCTTCGTCTTCAGGGCTGCCTCTCCTTGGTGGCCTTCCCTGCACACTGTCCTCCCCACCCTGGGCATTTGCCCCCCTCTTGTCTTGCTGGTCCCTCTCTGTAACCTCTCCTGGGGAACTGACCTCCCAAGGTTCCAGTCTGCTTCACCTTCCAACGGCTCCCCTACCTCTTGGGCCAACTGTGACCTCTCCCTATGTCCTTGGCGCCCCAGAGCTCATCTCCCCAAACCTGTCCTTCTTATGCCCCTTACTGCACAAATGCTCCAGCCCCCTGCCCCCCAGGTACCAGAGCCAGAAACCCACAGGAGCTGGGGGAGCCCTGGCACCCTACCATTCACCATTCCTCTCCCCACTGTAGCCAGAGAGGCCCTGCTCTCCTCCCTAGATCCCTTGGGTGCTGGTGCCTGAGGCCCCAGCAGTGTGTGGCGCCCACCCCCCTCCAGGCTGCTCATGAGCTCATGCCCTTTCTCACTAGGAGTCCGCCAGGTCCTACACCTCCTTCCAAGGCAGGTCAGCTCCTTTAAGGCCCAGCCCAGAGGCCACCTCCCTGGAAGCCCCCAGTGAAGTCCTGGGTGGGGTTCCAGGTGGGCCCAGTGACACCCCACCCCACTCCAGGACCCCCTGCTCCCTCTGTCTTGTTGCCTGAGGACTATCTGTGTCCATCCCTACTACTGTCTGCGTGTGTGTGCAGAGTGATCGATAAATGCTGGTGTGGTAAAGAAGGAGGGAGTCAATACACGAACCCCGTCCTGAGTAGTAGGGTGGATGACCACCGGTCAGCTTCGGCCTCCCTCGGGGGTGACACCAGTGGGTCTCTCAGCACTCACCCTGCCCCCCCACGCAGCCCCCAGGGGGTGGGGGCTCTCACCTGAGCAGGGTGGAGGTGACGTTGTAGCTGTGGTCTTCTTTCAGCTCGTAGCTGGTGGTGTACATCTTAAACTCGCTTCTGTCTTTCTCTGAAAGCGCATTTCCCGCCAGGCCCACGACATACCACTTCCCCTGGAACTGCAGGGGGCAGGTGACAGGCAGAGTGGGCCCCAGGGTCCCCCCGAGGCTCTGCCCCTGCATGCACTCGCTGGGCAGCCCGGCCCAGAACAAGGAGCCCCTCTACCAGGGCTGCAGGGCTCCTGACTGGGCCTGAGTCTGGCAGGGATGGAGTGACCCTCGGCCAGTGGCCAGCTGGTCCCCCTGAGCCTCAGTTTCCTCACCATGCAGAGGGACTGAAGGTGCTCCCACCTTGTGTGGACTGTGGGGGTTATGGGGGAGAGTGTGGACCTGGGCAGGTCAGCGACTCAAGGGCAGGCTGAGCTGAAGCCTGAGCCCCTCCTGTCCTAATATGCTCCCTAAGACACTGCCTCCCCTCCCTACTGCTCCCACTTTCCCCCAGGCCTTCCCCACAGCTGCCCGCCAGGCCCCTTACCTGGTCATCTTGGAAGTTTGGCTGCAGCGGGACCCTGGACAGAGGTGGGGCTGGGATCAGGTTTGGGGCAGAGTCCTGGGCCTGGGTCTGCAGGGCGCCCAGTAGGGTGAGGCCCAGCCACAGGAGACCTACGGCCATGGTTTCAAGGCTGAGGCAGCTGGGCAGCTGCTGAGCTGGGCAGGTGGCGAAGGAGAAGGGGGAAGTGAGGAGGCTGGCCCGGGGGCTCTCTTTATGGTCCACCTGTTCACCCGCTCACCCCGGGGTGGAGTGACTTGTCCTTTGCCAAATTCAGGAAGGGTGAGGTAACTGCCAGCAACTCCTGCTGAAATATTTTGTAAAACTTCTGCCCCTTTCCCCCATGGTCAGGATTGTGCAAGAAGGGGGGCAGGAAGGCCAGGGGAGGAAAGAGGGGACTTTCCCCAGAGCCCCGCACTTCTGCAGGGACAAAGGCTCCCCTGGCACACTCTCTGTGCCCATTCCCTCCACTCTGAGCAGCCCTGTTTGTGTTCAGTGGTCCGGATCTGGACAAGATGTCACCTCTGACCTCCAGGAGCCCCTGCTGGGCCCAAGCCCAGGGTAGGCTATGTGCGGCCAGGCCCCTCCAGGCACCCATTGAATGCGGACAATGCCTCGCCCCCCAGATCACATCCTGTTTCCTGGTTCTCAGAGAGGGCAGGGAAAGGTAGGGCACCTAAAAGGGAACATTCCTGACAGGGAAGGACAGAGTTTTCTGAGCTCTCAGAGCCCAGCTCCTGGCCCTCCTAGGGGCCTGGCGCCAACCCTGGCACAGGGTGAGAGCCCTTCCTCGGGGGCAGATCTGGAAGGACTTCCATCTAAAGTTGCCCCCCACGCCCCGCCCTCCATGCCCCATGTGTAGGAGTGGACCTGGACCCAAGCTGACGACCTCTAGGACTTGGCCCCTCGCACCCCAGCCGTACATGTAGCTGCTCAGCACAACAGTGTGGAGGCTGCAGGCCCAGGTGGGGGACAATGAGGCTTGTGCAGCTGGGCTGGGTGAGGGTCTGGGGCCTGCAGGTCAGCTCTCCACCCTACTGCTCTGGACACCAGGTGCTTTGGGTCACAGGGAGTGCAAGGACTTGTCTTTGTCCTTGAGAGGCAGCTGAGACCATCCACCATCTCTGGGCACAGCCTAGGTCAGTGGAATCCAATGGCCCAGGCCTGGGTCCCAGAGTGTTCCTGCCATGGCTGGTCCCACCTTTGTCCTGGAAAGCAGTTTCCTCACTGGGGATCTGGCTGTCCCTGGACGTAGTGATGGGTCCCAGCTCCTGGACAGTGTCTCTCAGATGTCACCATGAGGCCAGAGGCTGCCTGGATGCCTGACCTGAGGGTGAACTCGGGACACTGACAGGGACCTCGTTGGCTCTACCCACCTGCTGCTTGGAAACCAGCACCCAGCCTGGGCTCTGGGGCAGAGGATCCTGAGGGAAGGGCTTTGGCTGGGGTTGTGAGCTGGTGGGTACGGTGCAGGCTTGGCCATCCTGAGGCCATGCCTGCCCTCCTGGGTGACGAAAGGGCAGGAAGTAGATATGAGCAGAGCTTCCACGATGTGGCCACCGAAGCCCGCATCCCCTCCAGGTACCCATGGCCACCCCTTACCCCCCTCATCCTGATACCAGGCCCAGGGGCTCCACCCCTGCTACTCTCTTTGACCTTAAAAGGTATCTTCAAGCCTTTGGTGACTGTTGCATGTTGGGGAGACTGGCAGTGGAGCCCCAAAGAATTTTAAGTAGGGGAGGGGTAGTGACCTGGATCATCAAGGAGCCCCTGGGTAGAATATTCTAGACTCTTAATACACACACACACACACACACACACACACACACTGTCCCCACATGAGGCCATCTCTGAGATTCTGACCCTGCTTCTCTGTACCGGCCCCAGGCCTGTCCAGGCACGCTGCCTCGTCTCTGCCTCTCTGTCCTCTGTGTGGTCGTGGCCTTGGCCGACGCCTGGCGAAGGCCATCTCATCGCTCCTCCCTCACCTGGCCGCCTCCTGCCTTCTCTCCGGGCCCAGACCTGGTGGTGGGGCTGGTTCGGGAGCTGAGGGAGGGGGTAAGAGTGAAGGGGAGGAGGCCTGTCCAGGGATTTGGGAATCAGCGGTGTGCACCGTCCCAGCCACACCTCGTGGTCATGTATTTGTATCAGCACAGGCTCACTGATAATCATTTTATACTTTGGGTTACAACCCTGGGTCCTTTTGACATTCCGCTTTCATTGTGGTATCTGGGTAATATGATGAAGCTTGACATACAGAAATGCCCTCGAAACCACGACCACAACCAAGACAGTGCACATATTCATCACCCCAGGATTTCTCATGCCCCTTCCTTCCTGTCCTCTCTACCATACATGCCGGGGGCAACCACTAATCTGCTTTCTGTCACCATATGTTTGCATTTTCTAGTTCTATATAAATAGAACCAAATAGTATATAATCTTTATTGTCTGGCCTCTTTCACTCAGCCTATTTTGACATTCATCTCTTCAGTAGGTTCTGAATGAGATGAGGGGGCAGCGGGACTCTCCGGTAGAACCCACTAGAGTGTCAGAGAGGGGTCATCGGTAAGGTCAGGAGAAATGGCTGAGTGGGGGGTGAAGAGGCTGGCAGGACTCCTGGGCTCTGCCCTTGCCGATGGAGGCAGGAGCCAGAGAAGAAATTGGTTAGGGGGTGGTTGTGTGAGAATTGAAGTGGGGTGCCTGGGGGACATCCCACTGTCCCAAGGCCTGGAGTCAGGATCAGGGCCGACCTGAAGCCATAGCCTGGGCATTCATGACAAAGATGGTAACAGAAACCAGGGGAGGGAAAAGGTGGCCGAGGCCGTGTGTGTGTGGCCTAGAAGGGCCAAGACTGAATCCCGAGGAACTCAAGTCTTGAGAGGCAGGGCTGCAGAAGAGAAGATGGAGACAGGGAAGAGGGGCCAGTTAAAAAGGAGACAACAGGTCGCAAATGGAGTCGCTTGTGCTCATCAGACTGAAATCTAACACCTAACCTGACCTCGGTTTCATCTTAGCCCGCTCAGTCTGGAATTTCCTGTTCAGCAGGAATGAGGTACTATACTCTTCTCTTGGCCCTGCCCCCTTCTGCCTAGAAAAGTCTCCCATTTTGTACTTGCTAGACGGGATGCTACCTAATTCATAAATCACCGATTAAAGCCAATTTGACCCTGGCCGGTGTGGCTCAGTTGGTTGGGTGTCATCCTGTGCACCAAAAGGCTGCCAGTTCGATTCCCGGTCAGGGCACATGCCTGGGTTGCACCCCATCCCCAGTAGGGAGCGTTCAGGAGGCAGCCACTGGATGTTTTGCTCTCACATCAATGTTCCTCTCTCTCTCCCTCTCCCTTCCTCTCTCTAAAAAAAAAAAAAAATCAATAAAACATCTATAAAAAAATGTGATCATTGAATTTACTCAGTTGAGTTTTGTTTTTTAACAGATGTAAGAAAAACAAGGAGAGGCCGGGTGGGGGGAAAGGTGTCATAGAGCCACAGGAGGGCATGTATCCTGGAGGAGACTGGTCACCAGGGTCAGATTCTGAGGGCAGGTCACAGGAGTTCTAGCCTGAAACAGAGCTTATAGGCTGGCCTGGGCAGAGGCTCCTCCTCTCCTCTGGGCGAGAACCCCGGACCTGAGCCACCTGTCCCCTGACATCCCACAGCAACAGGGAAAAGCACAGCCACCCCTGGATTTGCTCAGCCACAGCTGGTTCTTCGGCCCTGAGGTCCCCTGGGCATTCAGCAGGGCTGTGCTCAATGCTGGCCCACAGATGGGAGGCCCCTGGCTGGAAAGAATTAAGGAAGAGGCAGTGTAGGGCGGTGAGCGCTGGGCAGCAAGCCAGCAGGTGTGGGCCTGCCCTAATGTCCTGCCCAACCGTGGCCAGAAGGACAAAGGGAGGACTTTGCCAAGCATTTCTGGTGGAGGGGCAGGTCACTGGGTTTCCTTCCTACCTTGGGCAAAGCTGGGGCAGCTGCCAGGTGGGCAAAACATAGGGCCTAGGTCTAGGGCAAGGGCCTCACTAGCCTCCAGACTCTCCCCATGAGTTTTCCCATTTAACACATCTCAGTTCAGGAGACACTCGTAATTATTTTTATTTTTAAGGGGAAACAGGCTGGAGAAGATGAAAGGGGAGCTCTCTTCATACTCCACCCCTAGAACCTTACCCCTACCCGCCCCAGGCGCTGTGCACACGACATGCTGCTTGGTTAGCAAGTCACGTTCGCCAGGGCGCCTGCGGGCTCGGGCTCTGCAGGGACCGCGCGGTGATGGAACGTGGCGACCCTCCGGCGACAGCGGGCGCCCGGTGGGAGCTGGAACGGCCCC